ACATATTACTTATTTAATACATGTACACATTTAAAAATGCTCTAACTTAAGTAATCACTACTCTCAACTCTAGTGGTAAAGTTTTTCTCGATGCAAGGACTCTAAATTGTCGATTTACTCAAAAGCTCGCGTACATCTAGAATAATATACATACATAAATTAACCCGAGTGACTCGAGTCACTAAATCCTACTCGAGTCGTATCTTTATCCTACGGTCAACGCAGTATGTGTCTACATTTTATTGATGAACTCGACTTACTAATTCGAGCAATTTATTGATAAATTATGTTATATTAATAAATAGATTAAGTATAATTTGTGATAGTTAAATTATTGATACCATAAAGACCTACGTCATAACGTAAGGATGATATTATTATATGAAGATTGTCGTTACGCAATCCAAAAATATGTAACTACCTATTAAGTTAAGTAAAAATAGTTGTGTCGGATTGATGAACAAATATTGTGTAACTGACTTTAATTCGAGTTACCTGAATTTCAACTCGAGTCGAGTTTCTTCCGAGTTCTGTAATTAGGGCTTGCAAATATTCGATTTTTTTTTGGTATTCGAATATTCGACTTTTTTTCGGTAAATATTCGTATTACTCGAATAATATTCAAATAATTAAAGAAAAAACTAAAACTGTTATAATAAACATATTTTATTGCCATTCTCTTACTTAGAGTCTAATTTCTCTGAATCAAAACAAAATCATAGCTAAAAATGAAAGAACTGCTTGGAATTTCACTGTTATGGCACTAATGCATTCCTATAAAAACTATAAAAAGTTAGTGCTTAACAAGACAACCATAGCACAATTACACAAAAGTCTTATAAATCGAGTTCTGAGTATTGTCATAATATTTATATAATAATAAAATCATTACAAACTTATATACTTATATACGACAAGTTATCACTTTCCTGCTGAGATGGTTGAAACTATATTTGTGAACAGATGCTACTTGTGGGTGCTAGTCTACTCGGTTTAGCTATAATTTTGATCGACTTTTCCGGCGTAAGTCATAGAAAACTTTAGATATTGAAGTGTTTTCCATTCATTATTCATTATACAGGGTATCCGGCCTTGAAATGGGTCATGGTAGATCTTACAGCCATTCAGAAAAAATACAAGAAAATTAAACTAGTATCGTAGGTTTGATTAAAAAAAAACACTTACTTTACATCACGACCACAAATTCGTTTTTTATTATTATAGTATTTAACATTATCTGCGTTAGAAGATAAGTTAGTAATAAACGGTGTGACAGCTATTGCATTTTTTTTAAATTGAATTACTGTTTTAGTAAAATAATCATTTTGACGAAGTCTTAGTACCTAATCTTTAATACATTTATTTTAATATTATATTATCAGAACCAATGACCTGAACACGAATATAAAACAACTCTTTTTTGCATTTCTTTATTCCGTTTAAATTTTCAAAAATATTTAGGCTGTTTATAATAAAAAATTGGCATCTTTTTTGTAATAACATTGAGAGTCGTTAAAATTTCTAATGGGCCCAAAAACAATTTTCTCCTTAAAATTTAATGATGGACAATTTTAAACTCTCATAAATACAATATTCAGTCGTGAGAGTTTCCACATTTTCGCTTAAAATAAACAGTCTATAATAGTATGAAAAGCGCTGTGTTAGCTCTAGGGTTAATCACTTGCGGTAAATTCCACAGTAATTGAGCAATCCGATTCGAGTACTGCCAACACCACACGAATGTTGATATAGTGAAACATAGTGACAGGCCAGTTGGTCTAGTGGTTAGTGACCCTGACTGCTATGTCGGAGGTCGTGGGTTCGATTCCCACCCAGGACAAATGTTTGTGAGATGAGCACGATCATTTGTTCTGTGTCTGGGTGTAATTTATCTATAATATTTATGTATTTAGAAATATATAAGTATGTTTATCAGTTGTCTAGTACCCATAACGCAAGCTCTGCTTAACTTGGGACTAGATGGCGTTGTGTGATAGTTGTGGATTATTATTATTATTGTGGGGTATCTATATAGTTTTCTCATCTGGTTGGGTTCTATAAATATATAATTATAAATGAAAATGAAAAGATAAATATACATAAATATCAATAACATAAAATAAATATAAAAATACTTAAATAAATAAAAGCCCAACCAGATGGAGGCCCTCAGCAGGGGAGACCAAACGGCCGAGGGTTAGAGGGAAAGGGAAAGAAACCGGCGGACGATGCGGGCGGTATCGAGGAGCACCGCCTTCTGCATTTGAGCCCGGAGCGGTCCGCCACGTAGTCCCAGTCGCCTCAGATGACCCGAGAGGCTGACTGAGATTAGCTCGTTTGCAGAGACGACTACATGTCGGTCACCTCGTGAGCCAGGTCCAGATATTTTGTTTGCTTGTCTGTTTTCGGCTTTCACGAGGTTCTCGTCATACGGAATGGTAATGTCGACCAAAAATATCCTTGACTGTGCCCGGTCCATCAGCACAATATCAGGCTTATTCGCAAGAATAGTCTGTGATGATGGCCCGGTCCCAATAGAGCCTGGCGCGATCATTTTCGAGCACGGCTTCCGGCAAGTACTTGTAATACGGCAATTTCCGATCCACGAGACCGTATTTCAGAGCGAGCTCCTGGTGAAGAATTCTGGCTACTAGGTTGTGCCTGTGCAAGTACTCAGAGTTAGAAAGCGCCGAACAACCGGAGATGACATGCCTAAGTGACTCACCGGGATGGCGACAAGCTCGACAGATGTCCACGGTGCCATCCTTTAGGATGTATCTCCGATAGTTGTTGGTCTTAATAACCTGATCCTGTATTGCACAGACAAAACCCTCGGTTTCCCCGAAGAGATCACCAAAGCGTAGCCAGTGGAGGGAGGCTACTGTGTCTAGGGAAAGGCTCATGTAGAGCCTTGTAGAACCTCCCGTGGAGCTCCTTCTCCTTCCATACGTTCTCCCGGTCGGAAATTGTCTGCACTGCCGGGTCTTGCCATTGATCGTTGGCTAAGGATAGAGGGGTAAGTCCTTTATCACTAGAAATGACGTCCTTATAGAATGGGTCATCCGATATCGCCAGGATGTAATTACGGAGGCTGCACACTTCGCGATTATGCATGGTGAGCGCGCTCAAGAAGCTACGCCCACCATGCTTTCGCGGCAAGTACAGCCTCATTACCGACGATCTCGGATGATGCATTCTGTGGGACGTCATGGTAGTGCGGACTTTTCTATCCAGGGCGTTAAGTTCAGTCTGAGTCCACCTGAGTATGCCAAAGGGTACATGAGGACAGGCATGACCCAGCCGTTATATGCGTGTGTCTTATTCACACTGGACAAAAGGCTGTTAAGCACTTTGGTCAAGCGTGCATAAAACACGTCGCATAGACTGTTTCATACCAGCCTCATCGATACCGATGTTCTGTGACATGCCCAGGTATCGGTATGTTTCAGCCTCGGAAAGGGTCCTTAAGTTGACGGGCATGGATAAGTCTATGCCCTCAGAGTTAGCAACCCTCCCCCTTTCAACATGGAGGACCGCACACTAATCCGTTCCCAGCTCCATTCCAATAGAATTGCTAAATTCACAAGTGATGTTTAGCAATTCCATAAGATGGGAGCGACTGGAGGCGAATAACTTGAGGTCATCCATAGCGGTGGGTCAGCCTTTTGTACCTCCTTTCCGAAGCTGAAATCCCCTCCCGGAGCCCTCCAGTAAAGTACTGAGAGAGTTCAGGGAGAGGCAAAACCAGATTGGACTCAGACAATCGCCCTGGAAGATACCCCTTCTTATCCTTATGTGGTTCTCCGCAGCCATATCATCCGCTCCCCCAGATAGCAAAGGATCGTACTCCATTGCCCCATACACTGCTCGAGGAAGTCTCCAACTGTACAGTCAATTTTGTACAGCTGGAGGACTCTCTTTAGCCATGTATGGGGCACCGAGTCGAATGCCTTTCTGTAGTCTATCCAGGCGGCGGAGAAATTCCGACGGTTGCGTTTCACCACATTGCCAATGACCGCGTCAATGAGGAGTGGTTCCTTGGTTCCACGACCACCGCCCCGGCATCCATTTTGAGCGCGTGACATCACCTGATTTAGATCCAGGTGACGAGTGATTCTCGCGCTCAAAATGGATGTCAGTGTCTTATATTGGTGGGTAGACACTTGATGGGGCGGTATTTGCTCGGGTCTGTGGTATCCTGATCTTTAGGAACCAAATGAGTGATCCCAGTAGTGAAGAGGCTCGGGAGCGACTTCTGATCGAGAGCCTCTTGAAACTGTCGGGCGAGCACAGCGTGACACACTACGAACCCCTTCAGCCAGTAATGATGCAGCCCGTCGAGCCCCGGACTTTTCCAGTTCGGGGCCCTACGGACCGCCTCAGCCACGTCTTCAGGCGTTATGGTGACGGGGTCCATAGGCGTAACACTTGCACTCTGGCTCACCACAACTTCCATCCAAGGGCCCTCGCTGTGGTTTACGGGCTCTGACCACAGGCCACGCCAAAATGCGACAGTGTCAGCCTGATCCGGTCCTGAGCCCGCTCCACATACCTCTGGTCGCTCCAATGATTTATAGAGCCTCTTCTAATCACTCTGGAAGAGACGATTCTGGTTGAACCACCTTGACCTCTCGCTAAATCGTCGAATCCGCTTCCCCCAAGCAGCGATTTTTTGCTTCAGGTCATCTATGCGCTCCGTTAGTTTTTGCGTGATATCCGGCTGGAACAAACTGATATTTGTCCCAGCAAACGCCAACCTAACGGTGCGCATAATCCTCGGTCTATTATTACCCGACCTGAAGCTTGTCAGTCTGCCGATAGGGCCCTTGCCTTTGCGATACGGTCCTCAATTCTTTTTCTCCAGGCTGGGATGGCGCTACTTTTTTGAGTAGCACGTCCAGCCATGGGAAGTTTGGCGCCAATAATACGGCAACTGCCAGTGCGGCGCCAAAAATTAACTGAATCCGTCTCGCAAAGGTCCCGGCTGGCTTCCAAATAGGTCACCAGCATTGGGTTAAGAGTCCGCATGACAGCCCGATTTCGCTTGCTAAGGGGTATGGGGGAAGTCGCGGTCGATTTTCGAGAGGCATGCTGCGCGTTTCCAGCATCGACTCTTCCAATATGCTCCTCATTTTCTCTAGTTCGTGGGAGACTATTCCATCATCGTCTGAATTAGCCACAAATGGAATGTTGAAGGCAGCATCCACATATGCAGTTTGTTGCGCATCTAGTGGCGCCGCATTCCCAGCCGTAGCATTTCCATTCGATGAAGGAATAGCCTCACGTCGTAGTCGCTCGAGTTCGGCGTCACCAAATATGTTGGAGCGCAGGATGTACCTAACTCTGTCTGCCAGGTTTTGCTCAGTGACGGATAGAGATGGCTCCAGCTCTTCAAAAGAGCGATGCATCCGAGCCCGATACGCCAAACATCCAGTTTCTTCCCTTTTGCCCTAAAATACGCCCGCAGTGCGTTTTCATTCATTGATTTAGACCAACGCATGTGACGTGCTCCACCAGCGGCGGGTGCCGCTTGCTGAGTCCGAGAAGACCCAGCTGACACCAAGCCTTCTGGTGGGGATGATGGATGCGGGGGGCTGCTAGGTGGTCTTGCAACACCCCGCGTTCGGCTGGCGGCCCGCATGATGTCGCGTCCAGCGCCAGCCCCAGACGCGCCCTGGCGACCTCCAGGCAGCGGCCCTTTGCGCACTATCTTTTTCTCCATCATCCATAATATGGGCGTCCATTAACGGGAGACGCCCAGGCCCGGCACCGTATCGTGGACGGCCATAAGCACAAATGGGCCTTTGCACCCTGAATTCTGCCGAGGCACGGCGCTCACACCTCTCGCAAGGCGCTGACTGACTGCGTTGACGTAGCAGTTTTGTCACTTAACTGTTACGTCAGCGGGCGATGGGGTCGTCAATTCCCTACGCCATATTATTTATTATTATTGTGGGGTATCTATATAGTTTTTTCATCCGGTTGGGTTCTATAAATATATAATTATAAATGAAAATGAAAAGATAAATATACATATATATCAATAACATAAAATAAATATAAAAATACATAAATAAATAAAAGCCCAACCAGATGGAGGCCCCTCGGCAGGGGAGACCAAACGGCCGAGGGTTAGGAGGAAAGGGAAAGAAACCGGCGCACGATGCTGGCGGTATCGAGGGAGCACCGCCTTCTGCATTTGAGCCCGGAGCGGTCCGCCACGTAGTCCCAGTCGCCTCAGATGACCCGAGAGGCTGACTGGGATTAGCCCGTTTGCAGAGACGACTACAGGAATAATTTCGGTCGGCAGACCACCCCACATGTCAGTCATCTCGTGAGCCAGGTCCAGATATTTTGTTTGCTTGTCTGTTTCGGCTTTCACGAAGTTCTCGTCATACGGAATGGTAATGTCGACCAAAAAATATCCTTGACTGTGCCCGGTCCATCAGCACAATATCAGCCTTATTCGCAAGAATAGTCCTGTCTGTGATGATGGCCCGGTCCCAATAGAGCCTGGCGCGATCATTTTCGAGCACGGCTTCCGGCAAGTACTTGTAATACGGCAATTTCCGATCCACGAGACCGTATTTCAGAGCGAGCTCCTGGTGAAGAATTCTGGCTACTAGGTTGTGCCTGTGCAAGTACTCAGAGTTAGAAAGCGCCGAACAACCGGAGATGACATGCCTAAGTGACTCACCGGGATGGCGACAAGCTCGACAGATGTCCACGGTGCCATCCTTTAGGATGTATCTCCGATAGTTGTTGGTCTTAATAACCTGATCCTGTATTGCACAGACAAAACCCTCAGTTTCCCCCGAAGAGATCACCAAAGCGTAGCCAGTGGAGGGAGGCTACTGTGTCTACGAAAGGCTCATGTAGAGCCTTGTAGAACCTTCCGTGGAGCTCCTTCTCCTTCCATACGGTCTCCCGGTCGGAAATGCTAAGCACTGCTGGGTCCTGCCATTGCTCGTTGGCTAAGGATAGAGGGGTAAGCCCTTTATTATTATTATGTGGGGTATCTATATAGTTTTCTCATCTGGTTGGGTTCTATAAATATATAATTATAAATGAAAATGAAAAGATAAATATACATAAATATCAATAACATAAAATAAATATAAAAGTACATAAATAAATAAAAGCCCAACCAGATGGAGGCCCTCGGCAGGGGAGACCAAACGGCCGAGGGTTAGGGGGAAAGGGAAAGAAACCGGCGGACGATGCGGGCGGTATCGAGGAGCACCGCCTTCTGCATTTGAGCCTGGAGCGGTCCGCCACGTAGTCCCAGCCGCCTCAGATGACCCGAGAGGCTGACTGGGATTAGCCCACGTTTCGCAGAGACGACTACAGGAATAATTTCGGTCTGCAGACCACCCCACATGTCGGTCACCTCGTGAGCCGGGTCCAGATATTTTGTTTGCTTATCTGTTTCGGCTTTCACAAGGTTCTCGTCATACGGAACGGTAATGTCGACCTAAATTATCCTTGACTGTGCCCGGTCCATCAGCACAATATCAGGCTTATTCGCAAGAATAGTCCTGTCTGTGATGATGGCCCGGTCCCAATAGAGCCTGGCGCGATCATTTTCGAGCACGGCTTCCGGCAAGTACTTGTAATACGGCAATTTCCGATCCACGAGACCGTATTTCAGAGCGAGCTCCTGGTGTAGAATTCTGGCTACTAGGTTGTGCATGTGCAAGTACTCAGAGTTAGAAAGCGCCGAACAACCGGAGATATGCCTAAGTAACCGGGATGGCGACAAGCTCGACAGATGTCGACGGTGCCATCCTTTAGGATGTATCTCCGATATTATTATAATAATTATTAACATTATTATTTTTGGGTACAATCCTAATTTTCATAAGAGGTTATTTATTCACGTATTCATATAGCCTTATAGGGTAGATAGTTTCTAAAGTTGCCACGCATAGGAAGCGGGCTACTATTCACAGCTTTTTTAAGTAAAAACTTCTTTAGAATCGTTGTGATTTGAAACTAGATGAAACGCAAACTATGCGACACTAAAAAGAGACAAACATATATCTCTATAGAGTTCACCCTGCGAGAGAATGAAATAGAATACAGTATACGGTTTCCTATATCCCTGAGACTCCTTTTCTGAAGGTAATGCACTTCTATCGCGTGTGAATTGTAAGAACTTTTTTTATATTGTTGTCAGAAAGATGCGGCTGTCCATCTCTTGTTTCTTATCTCTCTGTCGCCTCCATCTACGGGATGACATGAGATAGTGGATTCTCTTATATTGCTTCTACACGACAGCAGCGTGTACTGAACGTAAGTTGCAAAAATATCGTTATACGAGTACCAGCAGTGGTAGGGTACTGTTACCTTTAGAGCTTACGAAAAGTTAACCTAAAACAGGCCTCTGTAGTAAGGGTGAAAAGCGAGTAGATAATCCAACTGACAGTAATTGGATGCTGTAACCCATAGACCTCTACAACTTTCCTCGATTAAGAATCAAAATGTAGATGCGTTGTCACCAGCGAGGACTAAGATGGAATGAAAATATTACATGGAACTATAATTTACAATTAGTGAGTCAAAAACTTTGTCAATGTATTTTCCTAGGTAATTTATTTAAGACCTTAGGTGTGAATAATTCGCGAAGATTTGTTGTCAATCAAATCTGATGAAATGGCGATTGCCGTCTAGAGTATGATCAAAGCGGACTGCGGACTTCCCGAAGTGTTGATGTATCATGTCAGCTATGTTGTTAGTAGTTACGTTGCACCAGTTCTGGCTCACTGAGTCAGAAGTGGTACAAGTACGACGTTCGTCGACTCACGATCCCAAAAAAAAGAAAAAAAGAAAAAAAAGGTTTTGGCATGCTCTGATCACGAATCTGCCATCCATTCCATCGCAATCCATTTTTGCGTAGGATGCACGGTTCCGGAGATGTGCAGATCAATTAACTCTTATATATTTGATATCCGGTGAAAGCCTCCACCGTCATTAGCGCTCCATTGTTCTTATCTATTTATCTATTGTTCATTGAATACCGTCATTATCTATTCTTCCTCAGCGTGGTGCTATTGTATTATACTCCTTTGTTAGTACACTAATCTGACTCATCAATAAAACACATTACCTAATTTTGTTAAATTTTTTATTTACAAAATACAAAATCTTATTACTTATTATCTATAAAATAGGAGCGAAACATCTCATCCACTAAAATATCGTTGTACAATGTGTTCCCTGTAAATATACTCGTAAAACTATGCATTGAACATCCCTGAAACTTATATAGCAAATACATTAAGCAATATTCGCCACAAACTGAAGTCCACTCATTCTGAATCCTATCAACATTCCAGTTCCATCTTTTACAATTCCTTTTTAAAAACTCTAGATGATATCGTACAGGTGCTCGTCCTTATGAATCAAAATATTGACCGACGTCATTCGTATCGATATATAAAGCTACCCAATGTGACCCTGGTTTATCATCTGTATCCAAATTGCATATTATATACGTTGGTACGTGGGTGTACATGGGCATTCTATGGGCAGCATAAACATTATTTTCTAGACTGGGGTGAATCTTTTTCAGATGTTGTTTTACATCCAGTGTATCCATGATATTACTGCTATTAGTAGATTATTACAGTACAATCTACTCAATGAATTAAATTGCATTATTTTGTATTATACAAAACGTATTTGAATCATCAATACACTGAACAAGACGCAACAGGAAGTAATGTTGAGATAAGCAACAGAATGTGAGACAAGCTTGTTGATACATAAAGTTACTATCAATTCCACTGCATAAATTCTTTAGATTAGAATTATTACTTACTGGTACTATATAAGACCGCGCAACTGCAGTCATGGAGTTAGTGTATGGTCGTTTGACCGCAGTGGATCCATCAATACTACATTTGTGTTACTTCAACGCATCAAAGGCCATGGATGTAAGTGTTTATTCTATTGACAAAGTTACTTTTCTTTCTGTTATTTTCTTACGTGTGTATGATTTAGTGTTAACAAATTATATTTAAATATTGCGTGTGTATATGATTAAGCCGTGGTAGCTCAGATGGTTAGCGGAAGCTGTAAATTTCACAGTACTCCGGGTTCGATCCCCGCCGGCACCAATTAAATTGTTAATTGCAATTTTAAGTGTTTATTCTATTGACATACTTACTTTTCTTTCTGTTATTTTCTTACGTGTGTATGATTTAGTGTTAACAAATTATATTTAAATATTGTGTGTGTATATGATTAAGCCGTGGTAGCTCAGATGGTTAGCGCAAGCTGTAAATTTTACAGTACGCGACCCGGGTTCGATCCCCGCCGGCACCAATTAAATTGTTAATTGCAATTTTAAGTGTTTATTCTATTGACAAAGTTACTTTTCTTTCTGTTATTTTCTTACGTGTGT